ATCTTTAAAAAAAAAAAAAAAAAAAAAAAGAGGGAGAATCAGTAGGAGTTTGCAACCACCGGGAATTTGGAGACGCGCGACTTCCAGCTTTTGTTTCAGTTAGCTTGCATCTAAGTAAATAGGATCAACTCAGGAAGAGAATGGTGCCATGTTTTTCCTTGGGGAAGACAGAAGTTCGACGTGTCATGGGTTGGATTTCAGGGACTTACCATTGGGTTTTTGAGTCTAGAACTAGGCTCATTGGAGCAGGATCTATAGATATTATGAAGAAGATGTGCATGTGGTCAACATTACTCAGTGTTTAAAGAGTAAATGATTTATCAGTGTTTAAGGAGTGAATAATGATTAGTGAATACTTTTTAAATTATCAATTTTAGTATTTTAAAAAAATGTACATTTCCATTTACTTTTTTTGTGATCAATGTATAACAGCATGTGCTGTTTTAACTTTCTGCCTAAAATTCAGTGAAATTAATTATGCTTATCACGTCGTTTGATGCTCATTACTTACCCGTCATCCTTAACAGAAGCTTAGTGCCACAAAGCCATTGGATACAACTTCCATAACCACTAATAAACATTGTTCTCACTTCACTTACTTGTTCTAGGTATTTCCCATAAGTGGAATCATAGCCTTTCTGTCCTTTGGTGACTGGCTTCTTTTACCCAATATAATGTTTTCCATGTCCGTCCATACTATAGATCATCAGTTATGGTTCAGTAGCAAATGGAAGAAAATGAGTTACAGTAGATTGAGAATGTTGTGGCCAAAAAGAGGGAGGTTAGAGAAATGTTGGCAGAACCCAGAGGGATTTCAAGGAGGGTTTAGTCTATAGCAACCAATTAGCAACCCAGTGAGCACGGGCTCAGTAAGTGCCAAAAGCCAGCACGCATGCGCACAAGGCTTTCCATGTGGTGAAGTAGTGAGTAAAGGAAAGAGAGAGAGGTGTATGCTGCAGCTAAGTTGCAACTGGCCACGCATCCAAATGGCTTTCCTTCATTTCACTTTCATTTCTGGTGATCATGACTTACTTCTCCACCAAGCCGGGGATGTCATATGCAGAGAGCCTTTCCCACGGTTCCCGACCTGCTCTATTTCAGGTGAGGGTCTAGGAATCCAATTAGTTCTTTCTTAAGCAATTTAACTAAGAAAACAAGGTGGAAATTGTTGAGTAGATCTCTTCGAGGGTACAGTTGTTAAGCTATGGGATTTATTCCTAAAAAGTCATGGGGATTAAGGCAATTCATAGTGATCCAAGAAAAAAGACTTTAAGGGTAGTCAGTGTTTGGATGTTGTTTTACAGAGAGTGAAATCTGATCCATCTCAGTTGTAAAAAGTTGAGAAGTATCTTCTCATTGGCCAGGGTGCTCCCTACCTAGCTTACCAGTGGGTATTTGAGTCCCTTGCAAGTTCGTGTGCATTAACTAGAATGAAAGAAATCTCACTTGTTCTGAGACTTAGTGTCTACAGAATTACTGAATTAGTTGTGTGATGATATTTTTGAGGAGACGTGAGACGTAGCTTAACAGCATCTGAAGCATACAAACCATTCATGTGGGTGCTGTTTGGAGCAGTTGGCAGGATTCAGTGGTAGAAATCTCACCTTGCCTTCTGTGTTCGAGACCTGGGGTCAATGCAGTCCTATGCAGACACATCTGGCCTCCTTGTTGATATGATGCTAAACTGGTTTCAGTGCTTCCAGACGAAACCAGCCTAGGAAGACAGGCTAGCAATAGACATCCAAAATCAGCCAATGAAAACCCTGTGGATCACAGCAGTCTGGCTGATTCCCAACTGATCGTGGAGATAGTATGACAGGGCAGAATTTCACTCCACTCTGCAAGGAGTTGCCATGAATTGGGGGTTGATTCAGCAACAAATAATAACATGGTTGTTGTTATCAGTCAAAAAGTATGAAGTGTAGGCCTATCTAGAGTAGGCAGGTAAGAATTTTGCGTGCCTAATGCTTAGCCCACCATGCCACCAAGGTTCCTAAGAAATTTCTTAATACCTTAATTGTTCAAAGCGCTCAGGGGTTACATATCAATTTAAAAATTCTCTGGCAATTTCAGTAATTTGAGGAAACTCTAAATGACCTTCCTCCTGAAAGTTATGTTCCTCTTGATAAAGTATAATAGGATTCAAGATTCTAGTCCATTAAAAGCCAATTTGGTAGTTGATACAACTTGCGTCTGTATGAGTCGATCATGCCCAAGGCTGGCTCTTAAAAAACTGCTTGTCAAAACAAACAAACAAACAAACAAACAAACAAACAAACAAAAACACACAAAAACACCCCTTCAGGATCCTTTATGAAGTTAACTGCAAAATGATCTTTAATGCTGTCACGCTTAAATCTAGGAATATAAAACACTGTCAAAAAAAGTTACCCCACCCCACAAACCCCACTTTTCTCAGAAAAGTATGTTGTATAATTTGTAAAATGAACTGGTGGCGGCAGATTGAGTATGGAGTCCAACCAATCAAAACCAAAGCTACCATGGAGTCAAGCAGGACTCTTCAGGACCCTGTGGACAGCAGTTCTTGGAGGGAGCAGAAAGCTTCATCTTTCTTCCGCATATGCAGCCCAGGCATATGTACATTGGAGGCATTATACACACGTCATATCGTTGATTTTGCCATCGTGTTTATATTGGGAATATATGTGAGAGTCCTGGTATGGTATTTTATGGGCAAGGTTCCATATCATATATAATAGGAACCTTTAATCTTGGTGATTTTAAGTGTCAGTGACTCCATGGCAGTAGGTTTTGGTTTATCGCTCTTGTGTAGATTTTCAGTTTTATGAAAAATATCAATATCCTTTCTGCCTCTATTTGACATAGTTATGACATTTTTATACTTCCTATTATCCTATTCTTTTAAAAGTTCTCATGTTTAACAAATAAAAGATGGCCTTTTCCTAATTTATATATGTTTAAGGATTTCAGCTAATTGCCATTTGAATTTCCATTAGCAAAATAACATTTGGGTAAAATAAAAATTCGTTCCCCAAAATCTATTCAGACTGGTCTCACATATGGCGTGTGCCTATGGCCAGGACGGCATTCAAATGATCTGAATATGATCAACTTCCTAAATATTATTTAAACTTTTCCTTCTAAAATCTCTGACTCTATGAAATACTTTGTTTATGTAAATATCTATAGCATAGAGTATATATAGCCTTGCCTGGTACAGAGTGATCTGTTTCTCATTACTCATAATTGCTATTTAAAGCATATGCCGAGAATGTATTGAAGATACTTCTGGGTCTCATTAATCAGTGTTCTAAATTCTACTCTCTGCTGTCCAGTTGACTCTTAAACAAATGTGCCCCTCCCCCTCTTTTGTGGGGATTCATTTGTGGATGATGCTTAACAAAACCGTCAAGAAACAATTGTGGGCTAAGTCCGTCTGGCTGCATTCTGTAAGGGTACACTTTAGGCACTGAATTTTCTTCCTGCTTTTCAGGCCGTTGGAGAGAAAAGAGCTGCTCCCGATTCTGGCAAGAAGCCCAAGACTCCAAAGAAAAAGAAAAAGAAAGATCCCAATGAGCCTCAGAAGCCAGTGTCAGCATATGCCCTGTTTTTCAGAGACACCCAGGCTGCAATTAAAGGGCAGAACCCTAATGCAACCTTTGGCGAGGTCTCCAAAATCGTCGCATCTATGTGGGACAGTCTTGGAGAAGAACAAAAGCAGGTAAGACAGGATCCCTTAGGGCAATGCATTTGACAGTGACCAGGGTATTCCTCTTACCTTACTTCTCGTGGGAGCTTTTCTAAGCTGGGGATTTTTAAAAAGCCAACCCAACATAAATATAAATTCTTCTCCTGGCCATCTGTAGTGGTGTGCCTTTCTTGGCCAGCTTCAGGGGGAATGTTCAAGGGCCCATTCAGGGAAAGGTTGGGACAAATCCAGGCAGTGTTCTGCAAGCATAACATTTTGATAATAATCTTTTCATTTTAAATAATGTGAATTTCTCCCCTTTTGTTCAAAAGGAGCACCACAAAGGGATTAGGTTCGTCCTCCCAGCCTTTTCATTGATCATCTTTCTGAACCTTTGTGCTGTCCTGGTGGGTTTCCAAACTTTGAAGCCTCCCCTGCATGTCTCATTATTGTCATAGGGCATTTAAAATTTTATTCTAAGTTCATTTTCAAGCTCACCAGTATGTAGCGATTCAGAGATTAGCTATGCTGGTGGGAGATACTTCCTCAGGGGGTTAGGCTCTTCTTTTTCCCATGCCACGCCTCTGGAGGAACAAGGGAAGAGTGAGTTCCTTGGGGGTTGGCCCTCCCTTTGCTCCTTGCATGAAAGTCCAATTACCATTAATATGAGTGAACACTTAACTTATACACAGAAGACTATACCCCTATGAGTGATAAAATAGAATAATTGTTTCAGGATGACGAGTAGAAAGCCTTTGGTTTATTTTCTTTACAAATCATGAACTCATTCCTTCAAACTGGTTTCGTTGCGGTGGAGAGATGATAGAATTTGATTGTTTATCTTCAATGGGCATATAGCTGGATGTGGCCCACCTTTTTCTCTCCTAGACATGCAGTGATACAGGAGGGCCACACTGCTGTACCTCACTTTGAAACTCTGGAGAGAAGGGCAACAGGGCTGTGGTCTAGCCCCAGCCATCCGATCATTATTAAGGAAAAGGAAGTCCAAGTCAGCGGTCTCACTAAGGAAAATCTCACCACTTTTTTGACTGCTGCCTTGTCCTCCCAAAACAGAGTGGAAAGGCCTCGTCTTCTTTCCCACATTAGTTTTTGTTTTCACCTTCTGATAAAATGCAGCCGAGACATGTGTGTGCAGAAAAGTTGACATTGATGGAGAAACAAGTTACTGTCTTTCTTATGAACCATTTGTAGCACATTGTATACTTACGACCTGATTTACTGCCTTCACCCGAGGCCCTGCACGGTCACTGTCAAGGAATCTAGGCTGCAACCTGAGAAAATGTTCTCCTTTGCCATTGTTGTTTTTGTGGGCCTTGGTGGCTTGTGGCAATCCCGTGTGTTTCAGAGGAGAACTGCTCCATAGGATTTTCTCAGCTGAAACCCTGCTGGCTTAGTGGGTTATGCATTAAGCAAAGTCAGCAGTTTGAATCCTCCATTCATCCGGTGGGAGAAAGATGAGGCTGTGTGCTACCGTACAGATTTAAAATCTCAGAAATCCAAATGGGGAAGTTATACTCTACCTTATAGGGTGATGATGAGTTGGAATCAAGTCCAAGGCAGGGAGTTAGGTTTGGGGAGTCAAATTTTTACAGAAGGAGCCCTAGTGGCTCAGTGGTTAAGCACTCCATGACTAACTGGAAGGTTAGAGGGGGCCTGGAGCCACCAACCTCTCTTAAGGGGCAAACATCTACATCTGTAAAGATGAAACCTGTTAAACCAAGCCCATTGCTATGAAATCAAGTTCACCTCATAGTAACCCTGTGGGACAGAGTAGAACTACTCCCTGGATTTCTGCTAGGCTATAAATCTTTACAAAACCCATTGTCACATTTTCTTCCTTGGAAGCAGCTGGTATGTGCAAAACTGATTTAGAAACCTTACAGTGTGGATTGACCCTGCCCTGTAGGGTCACTGTGAGTTGGCACTGGCTCCAGGACAATGAGTTAATAATGAGGGAGCAGTTCTCCAGGTCTCCCACAGAGCCACTGGGGGATTGCAAGCTACTTGCCCACCCAGATTTTTCATTTGCAACAGTAAACATCAAAATTATGCCTTACTTAGGTGGCCAGGGTTTGGGTTGAATATTTGTGTGTTTTAACATTTACAAAACAAAGCCGAGGAGACCAGCCATTTTTGAGTTACATTGTGACCGAGATTGTGAAGCAGTTATTGTATGGCTCAGAATTTTCATACTAAAAGTGGTACTAATTGTGGTATTTTAATAGGTATACAAAAGGAAAACAGAAGCTGCCAAAAAAGAGTACCTGAAGGCCCTGGCTGCGTACAGAGCTAGCCTGGTTTCCAAGGTAAGCCAGTGCAGGTGGCCCCTTTCCCAACAGGTACATCAGGAACGTCAGCCCCGTAACATTGAAAACATACTGCAAGTCTCCTTCATGTTGGGAGGGTAGCATCTTGAACAACGAAAGCCTCAACTTCGCTTGTTTCCATTAGCGATTACTCAAACCCTCAAATGATGGCTTGAAAAATATGAGTTAATTTAGCGGCTACATCTAAATAATTGTTTCTAAACATTTCCCTGACAGCTATAGATTAGTGCTTCAGTTCTTTAGGCTTATGTTAAGTGACCTTTGACTCTCTCGCCGTGGGAAGGCCTGCGATCTGCGTGTCCTTGGAGGCAGGTTTGCCTGGTGCTTTCGGACTGTAATTGGGGATGCTTCCTTCTGACCGAGGGCTCCATTCACAGAAAGAAATGTCATAGCTCTTTCAAATAAAATCATGGCCCCAAATACTAAAAACAGGCTTGACATGCATATTGTATATAGCGTGTACAGTAGAACCCAATGTGTTCTAAAATGCACCAATACTCCCAAACAGATGGTATTCCTAATGATCAGACCCTTCATGCGAAGGAAGCATTATGTAATTTTTAGAAACCTTCGATTTTGTCTTTTACCTTCCCAAAATGTATGGCAGTGTGATCCTTTGAACTTACACGCTTGAGCCCTTGACACTGCTCTTTGGCCAGCAGAGGCGCCATTTCATTATTATTGCCCCCAGTGCCACATCAGCCCTCCAGGCACAGTCGATGATGTTGTAAAAGCTATTTTAAAAGGCTTGACTCCCTTACTTTTTGTTCTTCTTTACCTGAGTTATTTCCTTTGGCTATGAAAGCCTGCAGTTGGCAGCTGCTCAGAATCAGATGAGGCATCCTATTGCCCAGAATGCTTGCTGCCACTTCTTTAGAAAAAGAAAATATTTATCTAGTCAATTGCAAAATGTTTGTTTGTTTTGAGAATTTGGAAGACACACATTATTGGGTTTCAAAAAGTTCATGGGAATGTTCCTTTATCTTGTAATACCATTTTCCCATGAATATTTTGAGTCTCAGAGGACCACTGGGCATACCCTTCAATATATTCAACGTATTCACTCATTTACCCAGAAGCAGGTACAGGTGATCTCTGTGTGTTCCAGCCTAAACTTTTCCATTGAGTCAATGATGACTCCTAGCACCCCGGCTGGATAGAATAGAACTGCCCCTGTGGCTTTGCAAGACTGGACATCTTTATGGGAGTAGAAAGCCTAATTTTTCTCCAGAAGAACAGCTGGTGGTTTGAAACCACTGACCTTTGGATTAGCACCCCAACTTGTAACCTACTAGACCAGCAGGGCTCCATGCAATACATGGAATTAAGCCAAAATGAATAACTGGAGGCACTCAGAGGGAGCAGCCATGATTGGGCTTTTTCAAATCTATGAGTGACTTAGAAGATATCATGTGAAAGTTATATATTATACAATGCAATCAGGATTAAGAAAAGAACACAATAGGGTGGAATTTATTTGTTTGTTTATTTAGTGCAATTTGAGAAGTTCCTCAATTTATATTAAGAGACCTGGCAGACAAAAAGTATTCCTGGGTGTATAAGCTTATTATTGATCTAAGCCAGAAGTGTAGAATAGCTACTGATGTACAGATCCCTTAGGGAGCAGCATCTGAGGTACAGAGCAATAATTAAACCTACTGGGGGAACTGGGTCAGTGTCCAGTTCCACAATTAAAAGATGGCGGGTCCTCCTGATATGCAATCGGTGAAGACAAAATGGGTGCGTAGGCAAATGTGGTGAAGAAAGCTGATGGTGCCTGACTATCAAAAGCTAGTCTTTTGGGGTCTTAAAAGCTTGGAGTTAAACAAGCGGTTTGCAATCAGGAAAGCAAAAAAAAAGCCCACATGGAAGAAGCACAGCAGGGTGATGGGAAGAAGTATCAGAAGTTGAAAAACACATCCAAAATGATATGATGGGAGTGGATGTAGTGGAGACCCAAAGACCAGCAAGACGAGTAGACAGTACGGAGGCTAAATCCAGGGTGCGGTGTGGCAATGATGAACTATGCAACTGTCCTCCAGGCCTTTAAGATCCCTCCCCTTACTAATATGGTCCACATGTGATGCACCTCATTGGCCATATTAGACTTGTGTATGTTCCTGTGTACGTTTAAGATCACTCAATCAATGGGAGTCAAGATAAATGACCACTCAGAGACACTGACAGGAGTAAGGGTTCCCTGAGGCATGAGAAGTGAGGTGGGGAGGGGGCTGGGGGGGGGCAGAGAAAGGAGGGTGGGTAGTTGATAACATTGATAATTGTATAACCCCACCCAATAGGACTGAACAACAGAACTGTATGGGAAGGGAAAGCATGTATTGGAATGAGCAAGATATGTCAATAAAACTATTATTCTAAATAAATAAATAAAAGATGGTAGGTGACAAATGAGAGGCTCCCCAGTATTGGTGCATGATAGTGAAGGCTGAAACTCAGATCGTAGTAGAATGATTGAAACCCAGGGCAGGGTAGATTTAAAGCCTATGATCCTATTCTTAAAATACAAGCCCAACTATATAAAGGAAATATAAGTTGATCTCCATGTACCTAGACAGAAGAACTTACTAATGCAAAGGACAAATAGCAGTGAGCTTATCCGGTGTGCATTGAACGTATACCCAGAACCCCTCCCACTCAAGACATAGCTGTGCGATGTTCTTAACTACAAAAGCAAACAAAACCACCAGTTGCCACCAGATTGCTTCCAACTCTGTGACATGATACTGGGCGTGTCACAGTAGAACTGTGCTACGTAGGGATATTGTCTGGAATCTGATCACTTGGCCTCGCTTTTGAGGTTCCTCTGATGAACTCAAACCTCCAGGCTCTAGCTTAACAGCAGAGTCAATGAACTGCTCCGACCACCTTGAGAGAGCCCCACTTGTCCACTCACCCCCAAAACAAAATGAACAAAACTTTTAAAGAATACGAGGGTGAAGGGAGGCCTGGTGGTACAGCGGTCCCTCGTTGAGAGGTTAGGTTGGCAGTTGTAACCTACCAGCTGCCCCCTGATGAAAAGAGCTGGTAATTTGCTCCCATAAAGGTGACAGCCTGAAAAGCACTGAAGGACGGTTCTCTGCTGTCACGGTCACCGAGAGTCGGGGTCAACTTGATGGGACACGCTAATACCAAGGGAGAAAGAAGCCAAACATTGTTGTAGCCATTAAAGATGGAAATCACGATATGATTTTACTGCGCAGTTTAATCATTTCTCTCTATTTCGAACTCTAGATAGAGCTGTTGATCATATAACAGCTTTTACCAGATCATATGAGTTTTGGACATTTTCGTTTTTCTGTGACTCTTTTGATAAATTCTGGTGATTCTTAAAAATATTTATTAAATGAACTATTTCTAAAGTTCTAAAGTGCTTCAGTTTAGTTCATCTAAGGGATTGTATAGTTTTTCTTATATCTAGGGAGCACTGTTATAAGTAATCACTGAAAATGCAGGACGTTGAAGTTTTCTGGTAGGAATTGTTTTCTAGTGTTATAACATCAAACTCACTGCTAGCTAGTCTATTCTGACCCCTCGCGACCATTTGCAACAGACTAGAATGGCACCTGTCAGTTTCTGGGGCTCTAAATCTTTGTGGGAACTGAAAGCCTCGTCTTTCTCCTAGGGAGCAGCCAGTGGGTGTGAACCACCAACTTTGTGGTTATCGGCCTGCCTCTTACCCCCTTCATTACCAGAGCTCCTTTTTCAGTGGTGCCTGTTAATTGAAAGAAGTAGCTGACATTCCTTCAGTGTTTCCCATAGGCCAGGCACTGTTCTAAGTGTTTGGGACATGAGCTCATTGGATTTTCACAACCTCTCCCACTTTAGTCCCATTTTGCAGATAGCCAAAATGAACAGACAGCTGGATTAAATTTCCCCAAGTAACCAAGTTATTAATTAGGAGAGCTGGGTTTGAATTCTGTTCTACTCTTTCAATATTATTCAGCAATGAGATTATTACACACATAAATGCTGAAGAATACTGCTCATATATTGTGTATGTTAGTTATCTTTTGCCACAATAGTGCTGTGTAGCAAACATCTCCAACGTCCAATGATTGAGACAGATGATCATTTACTTAACTCAAAGACTGACAGCATAGCTGGTTCTTCAGACCTCTATCAGGCTTGGCAGGATCAGCTAGTCCTTCTAATCTGGTAACTGTAATTCAATTCGGGGTCAGAAGGGGCTTGCAGATGGAAAATGGCACGTGCATGATAGTTTACTGGCTCTGGGGGACCTCACTTTTAAAAGGTGGCTTGTCATTATCTACTTGACACTCCAAGAGAGCGTGGATGGATGCAAGGTCTCTGTGGCGCCAGCTTGGAACTAGAATAATGTCACTTCCAGCACTTTCTTTTAGCCAGAGCCGAGGCATGAAACTAATCTAGATTCAAACCGTAGGAAATTGCATTCTTTCTCTGTATGGAAAGAGCTAAAACATCACCAGTAAAGATCTTGGATACTGGCAGGCATGAACAATGATGGCCGGTTTTGTAATCCGATCACCTCAAGTATGTATTTTAATGTTCTGGAATTCTCCTCCTCAACTTCTCCTCTTGCAGGCTGCCGCTGAATCAGCAGAAGCCCAAACCATTCGTTCTGTTCAGCAGACCCTGGCTTCGACTAATCTGACATCCTCTCTCCTCCTTAACACTCCACTGTCTCAGCATGGAACAGTAGCAGCATCACCTCAGACTCTCCAGCAATCCCTCCCCAGGTCAATTGCTCCGAAGCCCTTAACCATGAGACTTCCCATGAACCAGATTGTCACATCAGTCACCATTGCAGCCAACATGCCATCAAACATTGGGGCCCCGCTGATAAGCTCCATGGGCACAGCCATGGTCGGCTCAACATCATCCACCCAAGTGAGCCCTTCCGTGCAAACCCAGCAACATCAGATGCAGTTGCAGCAGCAGCAGCAGCAGCAGATGCAGCAGATGCAGCAGCAGCAGCTCCAGCAGCATCAAATGCATCAGCAAATTCAGCAGCAGATGCAGCAGCAGCATTTTCAACACCATATGCAGCAGCACCTGCAGCAGCAGCAACAGCAGCAGCATCTCCAGCAGCAGCTCAACCAACAGCAGCTGCAGCAGCATCTCCAGCTGCAGCAGTTGCAGCACATGCAACACCAATCTCAGCCTTCTCCTCGGCAGCACTCCCCCGTTACGTCCCAGATCACGTCCCCCCTCCCTGCCATTGGGAGCCCCCAGCCTGCCTCTCAGCAGCACCAGTCTCAAATACAGTCTCAGACACAGACTCAAGTATTACCGCAGGTCAGTATTTTCTGAAGATGCGTGTGACAAACGGAGTGGTGTGTCAAGGAGGGTGGCATAGGGGGGGACAACTATATGTCGCTGAAATTTATAAATTGGTGTTGGTTATGCAGCAATGTGTGACAGATCAAATGATCCTCTCAAATGTCTATTAGATAGGCAATAAGAACTACAGTGTAGCGGGGTATCACCTTTTTAGCTAATTATAAATCACTTTGTTTCGAAACAAGGAAAGCTGTGCTCTTTTATGTGATGCCTTTTTTATTTATTCAGGCTATACCTGCAATATGTGAATCAAACCGATTACTGAACCCTGGGACATACTGATGACTATAGACTGGCCGCTCTGAGTCTCAGAACATGGCCTTATTTCTTCCGAAGTGAATAAGCCACACTTCAAGGCTCTTTGAACTGCCGAAGCCCTAAAAATAAAAAGCACAGTTGTAACTACCTGAAACATGAAGAATCTGTTCATACAAACATTTGTATGACATGAATAGTTGATGGCATTTTTTCGTCATGAGAAAAATAATGTAAATCACAGACTTGCCAAAGTTCTTATTTTTTCCCCTAAATTTCTTCAGAAAAACAAACAAGTGGTTGGATTCAATTATCGACTCGCTTTCACTTTTTCTCCGTGATTTCTCCAAATCAAACCACAGTATCTGTTGTAACAATATCTATGGCCACTGTTATCCATGATAGCCATTCCAATTAGAAGAAAAGAAATGTGAATATTATATTCTGTGTTTCAAGTGACAAGTTTTGAAGAATTAAAAACACTGTATTTTTAAAAGGGAAATGCACTTAAATGGAAACAGCTATTACAAAAGTTAAGATTTAAAAAAAAAGCAAGAGGTTTTATTATGATGTAATACCAGTAGAATATTTAAAAGGCACACCACATCTGATTAATCAATGTAAATATTTTCTTTCAAAGTTGTAAGTTTTCCTATCATGTGTTGTAAAGTTTTCATAAACAAGGCTTTAAGGTAAACACTGGTGACATGAACCATTCATTGCTACGTTGCTTATTGTGTTTTTATGCTGTTTTATACTTTTTTATGAGTTATGATAGCAGCAATTAAGTTGTTTGTATTTTGCTTAACTAAAAAAATGCTTTTATCTTGCTATAGAATAAACACATTTCAGTAAAAACCGTGGACTGTATTTTGATGCAACAAGAAGGAAGCTGTTCACTTTTCAAATAAAATATGTCAGATTTCACTGTGGGTCCTTGAATACATAACAAAAAACAATCTCTCTGTCATTAAATCCATCCTGCCTTATCTCGACCTTGTAGAACAGAGCAGAAATGCCCCTTTGTGTTTCCCAGGCTGTCAATCTTATTATGGGAACAGAAAACCTCCTCTTTCTCCTGCAGAGCACCTGGTGGTTTCAAACTGTTGACCTTGTGGCTAGCAGTCAAACATGTAGTTACCAGGGCTGCTATTGAATACATCCAGAATGAGGATTTATACCACGTCACATGTTATTTCTGCCCTAGCATCATCTTCCATTTTCAGTACACCCTTAGGGAAAAAAAACACCTTGGGAAATATTTTGTAATTGGCATTTTCTGGAGAAGATGCAGGTGAAAGGTAAGTATCTAGAGCAGTGGTTCTCAACCTGTGGGTCGCGACCCCTTTGGCGGTCAAATGACCCATTCACAGGGGTCGCCCAATTCCTAACAGTAGCAAAATTACAGTTATGATGTAGCAACGAAAATAATTTTGTGGTTTGGGGGTCAGCACAACATGAGGAACTGTATGAAAGGGTCGCGGCATTAGGAAGGGTAAGAACCACAGATCTAGAGAAACCTACTGTTTTTCTACTTTGGAGAGCTCTAGCTGGCAACGTGCTGTTATTGCTATTACAATGGATAGTAGATGCTAATTCTTAAGCCATAATAATGATTTCCGACCCCATTTCTCACTCCTCCTTTCTTCCTCTGTAGTGGCACCTCTTTGAGAGCAGTGTGGCCACTATCCCCAGTTGTCTTTGCATGATTAATTACAGCATCTGTCCTGTCAGAAGCTATAATGAAGAGGTCTTGATAAAAATTGCAAATTACCACTGGCAACAGTCTTAAACTGCTTATGATAAAATGAAAATTAAAAACAGCAAGTGTCAACCCTGAGTAGAATCTTTATCTCGAAAGAATGAGGGCGTGAGTGGTGGGTGTCCATGGCTAGCGTGTTCATGACATTAAAAAATGATGGAATCTGGATCCCTAACAATTGTTGTCATTCTGAGAATATTTACTATACATTGTGGCTTATGAATAATTAATTTCACTTTCAATATTTTATAATCCTTCGTACACTGTATTATGTACAAATATTGAACAGCAAGAGATTGTAATTATAAATTTATAATTTCTTGCTGTAGAAAATATATGTCTAAATTGAAGCCTTTCTTACGATGTATTAGTTGACAGGTATCAGTGTTCAAACATTCTTAGAATGATGCCTAATCACATCTACAAGGGGGGATTGATTGTATTCCACAAAGAAGTGATCTGCTTGCATCGGACCCGCCAGAAGCAGAGCTGATAGCAGAAGATTTTCTATGAATTGAAAGTAACATTACATAACAATAAGACCTATTTTATATTCTGCTGTGAGACCTTTAGACAAATGTCTTCAAAATTAATTGCTAAACTACATGTGACAGTAATTGTGTATTAGCTCTGTAATTGTCATTTTGAAAACCCATGAAGTATTGCTTGGAAAAAAATGTCACTAGTGATAAGACTTAATTGCAAGTGAAGTCTGTTTTCAGCTGTTTGCAGTTAGAAGCAGGTGTTGTAACATTTATTAAATGATTTTATAAATCTTGGGTTTTATCACCTTTGATTAAATGCTGCTAAGGCACTGACAGTCAATTCCAGAGGAAAAAATAGTTTAATAACTACAGTTTAAAAGTTAATCACCAGGCAAAACTATATACTGTCATGTATTGTGGATTTACATTCTGTGAAATAAGATTTGTGATTTGGACATCATGCAAACACCATACACAGGCAGTCCCTGGGTTACAAATGAATTTTTCTTAAGTCTAAGTCAGATTTGTACCTAAGTCCAGACAGTTTGGCACAGTTAGTGTCAGATGTCAGTTAGCCAAATGTTGGTCTTAATATATATAGTGTGGTTTTCAAGCATAAATTTAAAGAAACACAAAATCATTGAACATAATAATACAAGGATATTAATAATGTGTTGGTATCTATTTCAAAGTGGTAGCACCCATTTGTTATCAAGAATATTTGTATGTACCTCAGCGTTTTAATATAATAGGGTTTAAGGGGATTGGGGCCATGAGGTATATGGAGGTATATGCGGTTGGAGTTTGCACGAACTGATGTTAATGCAGCATATAACTGTATTTAAATCTCAGAAATCTTAAATCATGAAAATAATTCCCCAACTTTGTTACCAGATTATTTTGCTCAGAATTCACAAAAGCATGTTATGTATCAATTTGTATTTCAATTTATATATGTGACTGGTTTCTATTGTAGAGCCTTAAGCGACTACCATATATACTCAAGTATAAGCCAACCCGAATATCAGCCGAAGCACCTAATTTTACCACAAAAACTACATTAAAAATGTGCTGGAAAACTCGGCTTATACATGAGTATATATGGTGCTTGGTGTACTTTTTTTTTGATACAGGTCAGCAATAAATCAGGGTTATGAAAAGGCTGCCTGAGAAATGTGGTATGTGGTTAGGGTAGCATTCCCTCTAAGTGATCTACAGACGCGAAATAGCATCCTAGCCCCACTCAGCTCCATCATACACACCTTTTTACTACCCCTGCTCTGTAGGCAATATTTTATTACTCCCATTAAACATGCTCTCCCCCACAACCCCCTGCATGAACCTGTACTGCTACATGATGAAAGAACAAGTCGTTTTCATGCTATAGCAGCCATCGATGGGGTAATTAGTTCTAGATTTAAAGAACAAAAGTGTAAATGCCTTCATGTAGCATCATTTCTACAGTATATTACCACCTGACGAGGTCCAGAAGCTTGCTGGACAGATGGATGAATATCTCAAGTTTGAGTAAGAGTCCTCTGCTGTGTCCTTTCAGGGGGCTTTAGACATCTGAATAGTTTCTTTTTCATTTCTCACTTCAAGGAGCATTTTTCAGCACTGGACTTCCATCTAACCTTTCCCTACCCCCACCCCCAGCCCCTTTGTTTGGCTTTTGTTTTGCAACAGCTGTTATTATCGTTTTTTTGGTCAGCTGTGATTGCTGGAGGCAAAATAGGACCAGATGGTGTTTTGCTATGCATGAATGGAGAGTTAGAGGAGTTGGGATTGAATAGGCCAAGTTTGAATGGTGTCTATGCACCACCTGCCTGCCTTAGCTGTGGTGTACACATCACAGTAGCATGATCCGTCTCAGACCTACTCGAATCGGATGGGAAAATAGAGAGCTGGGGTGGATTCCCCCCATATTTATTGATCTTCCATGCACTAACAGAATAATGCCGTGTACAGTCGATTTGAGTTAATTGGATATGACACAGCCTGGCATGTAATCTATCATTCTGGAATTCTGGTCCACTTTAAAGATTTCACTGCCCCCTAAAATACACACAAGCACACTCCGTAATAGCAAAATTAATGAGCTAAAGATGCTCAAGTTAAAAAAAGATGTCTGTTGACGGTAGACTTAAGGAGGCTGAGGTTAAGGTTTGGGAAGGGGATGACATTTTAAAATGATAGTTGTATCAGTTAAAAATGCAACGTAGAGGGAACTTCTGTTATGAGCAGAGAGCATTCATGTTTGTACGTTATCCATCAAGAAATATGAAGTGTATCTTACAAGGAAAATCACATGAACACACGCTCATTAGAAAATAGTCTTGAGTTGATTTTGTGTTGTACACACACACACATAGCCCAACATTTGCCAATTTAACACCAATTATATTAATAATGTTTGGCCATCACCAGTATGCAATGCCACATCGGAAAAATATATTCTTGGCTCAATCAATCTCTCCCCCTGTCTCCCCAGATAGAGCCAGCTTGGCTGACTATACCGACTACCAGGATGAACAGTTTCCTTGCATTTTAAAATCGGTGAACAGGTTGAACCTGTGCTCATTGTGGTCCCACAGGTGTGTGTGCGTGGCGGGTGCCAGTGTGTGAGGAAAAGCTTAACCATTCAGGAAAAGTGGAAACAGGCAGTTCCCCTTGCCTAAGGCCCTTATATTTATTTCTTAAATTTATTTAAGAATATATAATTTATAAAATTATAAATTCCTTAAATTTATTTCTGTAACATTCAAAACACTGATAAGTCCCAAAGGAAATGCAAAAATAAACAAGGCCTTCTGTTGACTCTTATATGTTTAAAATTGTTCCATCATAAATTAATAAAAAAAACAATACAACTAACAAGGTCCTTCATAACTTGGGAAGATTCCTATCCACCCTCCGGGTGGGGCGAGGTGTCCAGAAAGCAGCATGGTTAGTGTGTTAACAAGATACACAAAACAAATGTTTTGTTTTTAATCTGAGCAGATTACAAATCATTTGGAGAGGAAATAGATTGTAACTGCTTAGGGGTATTGGGGAAAGCTGCATGAAATTATTGGCATTGTAGATGTGCCTAGAAAGCTGGGTAGGTTGTTAATAGGCCAGGATGGATGGTAACTCCTAGTAGAAGCAGGAGACGTGGCCAGCCAAAGGACTACGAAAGCACTAGCCCTCGGCATTGAGTGTATTCCCGCTCAGGACAAGCCCGCCTGTTGCAGAGTGGAGCTGCGCCACAGGGCTTTCCTGAAGAATCTTGACAGAAGCAGTTCGCCACCCTCCCTCCCCTCACCCCCACCTTCCAGGGACATAGATTGGACCTCCAACCTTTAGGTTAGTCCCAACCCAAATTCTTAGTTCCATCCAGAGACCTTCTTGAAAGGCTCACAGTGAGCACAGAGAGCCAAATGGAACTGCCCCCAGAGGTTCCAAGGCTGTCATTTATAGCAGCAGATTGCTACGTCTCTTTCCAGGGGAGCAGCTAGTGGGCTTGAGTCACCGACGTGCCACCAGGGCTCCTCTTTGAAAGGTAGACACCAGTCACACCCGCAGAAAAGCAAGCGACGTCCGATATGCTGCTTTAGGGACCCCAGGGGCAGACAAACCAAACTGCAAATGAAGTTTGGGATGAGCTTGACTTGTGCTTCACTGGAAAACGCCATGACATC